CCCCACTCCAACAACACTCAGTTTGTTTCCTGCGATTAAGAATTCCTCATATCAGTGAGATCATATGATACATGTCTTTCTCTTTTTGACTTATTAAATGCTCTTTCTTTTCCGCAAGTGACAGTACCTATATATTTTAAAGTCATCATTGATGCCACTACCATAAAATCTACTTTGAGTTTTCACTCTTCATACAGCGGGTGAGCATACCTTTTCCAGACATAAAGTTTGTGCAATCAGTGCCATGTAACTTGTGTTTTCAGGTGTAATATGTCTTTGAAATAATAATTTTAAAAAAACCCAACAACAATCAAAACTGATGCTACAAAGAGTAGTGAGATATCATTCTCATCACCTTTTAGGAGGACCTGGAGTTTTTAATATTTGTTTTAAATAAATCTGTGCCAAAAACAGTCCTATGGCTATCCCCCCACATGCACACACCTAGCAATAAAATCCTTACTTTCTTTTTTTCAAGCAACAGGCAGTAGTAAATGTAAAAGCCTGCTCACATGGAAGGAGAGAAATCTGAAAACTTTAAAAGGATCGTCAAACATTTTTAACTAAAACAAGCCTATTTGCAGGAACTCCTGACATTTGTATGATTTAAGTTTTACAGTCTGCTTTTTGGTAGAGAAAAGGATGGGGGAAAAAGAACAAATAAAAATGAATGTTTATTATATAGTTGCCTCAGAGGTCATTCCCGAGATAAATCTGTAGCTCAGCTTGTTTTGTTTTTTGTTTTTTTTTTTCCCCAAAGTGGAGAGTGAAATTGAGTCAGTCTGTTGCATTATTTTGAAGTTTGCGACTTAAATTTTACCAAATTAGTGTTGATTTATATGTAAATGCGAGTAACCAGCAAGTTTAAACCTAACTTGATTCAGGCATGAGGGAAAGTCAGTATTACAGGCCTAAAAATACTGGTATTCTAGTTTTCATTGCAGTAAACAGCAAGGGAACAAAAGGGGAAAGCCCTCTTAACCAGTCAGTTTATCTTCAATGCATGCACTTAAAAGTCTGGCTCATTAATGACTGTCATAATCTTATACAACCAGACTGAATTTAATAGGTTC